TTTCACTCCTTGGCTAGGGACAGAAGTTGCACACAAACTGGTTTAAGTAATCAGAAACTGGTTTAAAACTGTATCAGACTTAACTGATTTAGATCAAACCGGTTTATTAACTGTATCAGACTTAACTGATTTAGATCAAACCAGTTTATGAAACTTCTGTCCGAGACCCCTTCCTGGTTCAAGTTAAATCACAGTCCCCCAGCATCCCAGCATGCTTTGCAGCCCTGGGCTGTCTTCTCCAGAGATCAGGGCTGGCCCCACCCCTCTGCTTCCCCGCTGGAGCAGTGAGGGCTGCCTCACTGGCTGGCTCACTGGCCCTCCCAGGCAAACCCTGGTGGGGGGCTGGGTCCAGGGATGGGGGTTAAACTCACCTTCCCCTGAGTACAGAGCTGCCCTGTCTGGCTGGCTTACTTAGTGCTGGCTGCAACTGTGGAATAAAAAACCCAGAGGTACCTAGAAGCAGGAAGAGGAAATGATGAGCAACCCTACAGAGTCCTGCTGCTGTGAGTCTAGACTACAAATCCCAGAGACCTCAGGGGCAGCAAGCATAGGTGGCAGAAGGGTGGGGCGAATGGGGCTTAGCCCCCCCAAACTAATTTTGTGGCAGCTGGTGACAGCAGCAGCACCACTGCCACGTCCTGCTGTCACAGCGTGTGCACAGCACCCCTGCCATGCTCTCCTCTGCAGCTGCCGTGTACATCATTAATGCACACCGGCCCCACAATGGCCCAGTGAGAGGGAGAGGCGGGGATGAGCCCCCCCAAATAATATTTTCTCCTGCCACCTATGGCAGCAGGAAGAGGAAGCAAAAACACACAGCCCATGCTGGCTACATGCCAGAGAGCCATGCTCTAGCACCCCCCTAGCTTCTGACTTGAGCCACTGCAGGCATGTGGCTGCATTTCCTGAATCACAAGTGAATGTCTGTTCATTTGCTTATTGGTTCAATCTTTGCAGGTTAGACTAACTTGCAAAGACTGAATTAATTCAACCTCAGGCTTTTTGACTGTCTGTACTTAGCCCTTTAGCCTGACATATCTGTGCAAATGAATGTGATAACATTATATCAAAGTAAATATTGTAAACTATTTTAAATACTTACGAATACCATGATCATTAAAATTTTAAAGTTAAATTTAAGTTTCTAAAGTATACTATTGCTTTTGTTTGGTTTTGTGGGGTTTTTTAATGCTCAAGTATGTTTTTTTTTTTTACTTTCATAAAGGAGCCAGCAGTGACTGTGACCCTACAGGTACCTTTGATTCTCATTTTGTAAGTATTATATTATTGATGTTAAAATATATATTAAGAATTGCCCCACCATATGTGTAATTATTGAATACATTGGGTGCATGTGTGGTTTGGTTTTATACTGTGAAAAAAGTTGCACAAGCTGATCTGGTAAAACAGGTGTGGGTTTTTGCAGGGGGGGGTTTGTATCTGATCAGATACATTCTGGTAGGTTTTTGAAATATGTGAAAACATGCTTTTTTCCCTCAAGCATCTATTTTCTGATCATTTGTTGAAATATTCAGCTGATGAAAGTTCTAGGTAGTTCAAATAAAAACAATTCAAGACCTAGCAGCTGTAGGTTAGCAGAAGTTAGTTTTCTTTTGCATGCTGTGTGAAGAAGTATTCTTCCTGAAGATGGAATGCAGCAAGGCAGTGTTGTTTATAATTTAATTACCATGGATTCCACAGTAGGGGGAAAAATAATTCTTCAAAGGATATTTCTTTAATTCTATCTATCTATCTATCTATCTATCTATCTATCTATCTATCTTTATTTAAAATCTGCACACTGGAACATGCCATGTTTGATTCTTTTCTATCATGAGGGCTACTGTCAGTGCTTGCAGCATGTTGAAGGTCCTTCCTGCACCAGATGCAAACCACTTTACTGGAATCTAGCCAGACAAAACCCTGATGGATGTATAGGTAAGCCTTGACATGCCTTTCTTTAGGTTAAAGATATTAATCTCTTATCATTAATCATTAGTTATGATAATGATACAAAACTTTGTTAGTTACTGTAACTACTTTTGGTAAGAATGCATTTTTATACTGCTGGCAGACAAGGTTCCTTGGGTGAATTTGATATCTTTTATTAGACCAACCCAAATAGTTGGGGAATATTTATTAAGCAAGCTTTCGGGTTCAAAAACCCTTCGTCAGGCTAAGGAAGTTTCAGCAGTTGGTGTGTGCTCTTCACTTTCATACCAGGATTTCTACAGTCATTCTCAACATTCAGCTGGCATTAGTATTTAAAAAGAGCTTTATTCTGCTCTCAGTGGGTACATCTACATGTGACTTTACTGCAGAGCAGACCAATTAGCTCTGCAGTAAAGCATCATCATCTACCCATGCACTGGCAGTAGGTGCAGTAAACTAATAAACTCCACCATAGGATAATACTGTTGGGGACAGTATTATCTTACAGCAGAGTACTTTACTGCACCAAAATGCATGTGTAGACAGTAACCAAGGGTATAAAATTGCACCAGATCAGCCCAGCCAGCTGGGGGCCTGCTCCACCCCAGTTCAAATTGCTGCTCTCCCAGGCACACGTGTAGACGCTACACCCAGGAGCAGTTAACTCTGGCGCAAACTGCCCCAGAGTTTATTGCATTGCATTAATTTCATGTGTAGATGCACCCAGTTACACTGAGATAAATCTGGTGTTAACCCTATTTTTATTTCAATGGAGTTTTGCAGACTCGTCAGTGTTAAAACTGAGAAAAGACTGTGGCCCTTTGTTTGGAGAAAATGTTTCGACTCATCTGATGGTGAATTCTAACCAATTAAAGTTACCAAGAGTTGAAAATTAAGTTGTGTTCAGAATTTGGCTGGACTGCTTTGACTTAGGTCTAAGTTAATTTTGATCAATATGTGGTTGCAGCTAGTTCTCAACAGATAGCATTGCTATGGTATGTTCTCTGTTTTTAAATCGTAGAACAGCTTTTATCTATAAAGCCTCTCTTATTCAATACCATATGTCTCTTTTCCAGTGGATTATATTGCAGCAGTAATCAACTGGGTGTAAAGATGGGATAAATGGCCAGTTCTAAAACTATTTACAATATTATTGCAGGACTAAATTCAATGTATCTTCTCCCCAGAGGCCAGTTACCTCTGCTTTTTTGGAATGTGCCTGTTCTACCTCCCAGACAGGGAGCAATAGTCCTATCATCCTAGCTCATCTGTGGCAGCACAAAGCCTCCCTGTCAGCAAGAGCAGTTCCTGTAATATTTGTTTCATTTATATTTCATGAAAAAATGACGTAATGGTCCCAGGGGTAGCCTTGGAACATACAGAATAGTCAGGCAGGCTGGCAGAAACTGTTGTTTACTCCACACAGGCACCACCAATAATCAGAAAAGTTTTGGTCTTTGGGAAGAGGAGGAGAAAAGGCAAACAATTACAAAAATTTAAATTTAAGCCTGTGTTTTTTGTAAAACAGAATGATTCAGGACTAATCTATGGATGACACCTTCAGTTACACAAAGGAACAAAGGCTACAAGAAACTGTCACTCTTGGTCCTTTTTCTCATCTTTTTCACTTGCTCCAATTCTACCCCTTAAGCTAGGAACAGACGCTGCACTTGTCCCTGGGCAAGTTGTGCCTGTGTTTGTCTCAGAGCAAATGTGTTCTGAGATTGGCACGTACACATATGTTGTGCTTCTAATCAGAGTTTAGTGAGTGGCTGAATGCACTGCTGCTTTTCTGCCATTGATTAAAGAATGCAAACTCAGGATAACTGTTCCCATGTACTTTGCCATATGATGGAATAAACTATTGCTACTTCTTATCCCATGAACCTTTTTAGGTTTTATTTTAGGACAGTGGACATGGACATCTGTATGATTGCACTTTGTTCCAGGATAAAATGGTTTATCCTGGGATAAATGTAATGTTTACTTGTAGCCTCAGGAACTGGCCACCATTGCAGTTTCTATGTATGGAAGGGATCACTCCCTGTTAGTGAGGTTTATAGTGCAAGCCTTATTCTTCCTTCCCCTTTTCCTGGCCATAAAGTAGAGTGTATTCTGAATCCCTGTGAGGTGGATGTTCCTCTTCTGTGCTTTGAAACTCCTGGAGGCATTGTGGCTTCCAAAGTAAAATTTGCATTAATGCTCAGGGCATTGTAATTTTGGGTTCTGCTGACTTTTGTCCAAAACCTCATATGAAGTTGAAATGTAGATTATCAGTATGTCTGTCTCTGCAGGGTGCCATTGTGATGTGACTGGAACACTAAGTGGAGTTGGAGAGTGTCGACAGGTGAACAGAAATTAAGTTTGTATACAGTTATATTGTTTTAACCTTCAGGAAGGTTGCAAAGATAGAGTTAAGTGTTACCTTTATATGGGCAAATGACTGGTGACATTCTAGACATATCAGATACAATTTTCCCTGAGAGTTTTTTAAGGCTCTGGAGTATGATGATTTAGTTTGTCCGTTGAGTAGGATAGATGACAGTAGAAATAACTTATTTGGTCAGATCAGGATTTTTGTTTCCTTTCCTTTAAGAATAAGAAATAATGAAAGGAATGTTGAAATAGTTTTGACCAAGTTGTTTTTTTCCCCAGGAGGATGGTCAGTGTTATTGCAAGCCTAATGTTTGTAGTGATTCTTGTGATACTTGTGAAGCTGGCTATTATGCTCTGGAAAACAGGAATTATTTTGGATGTCAAGGTAAAAAGGAAAAGGAAAATTTCCATTAGTGCAGAGTGAATAATAAATAATGTCTAACAGGATACTTTCATGTGGTGTAAATGTCTTTAGGATTTCATAGGCCACACTTTTAAAGCATGGTATTTATTTGCACACCAAATTACATTTATGTGTAGTTTTTTTTGCACTGCTGCTTGTGATTGCTCATTGTAAGTGCACAAGTACAGATCCCAATTTGTGCACATATAGTGAATAGGCCCATGCGAAGCGGCTAGTATTTGCTTCGGATTTGGATTTGGTCAATTTGGGGGACAGTGATTCAATTTGGTGGTTTGAATTACTGTCCTGAATTGATCCAGCCAAATCTGATTCAGAGATTCAGCAGCAGCCGAATCTCTGAATCTCCGAATCACCCAGGCCATGCCCATTCCCCTCCCGCTCTCCCAGCCCAGCACTTTGGAAAAAAAAAAAAAAAAAGCCCTGACTCAGCAGGTGCTATCGGGCGAGGGGGCAATCCCCGCTACCCCGCATTGTCCCACACTGCATGGGGGGCTCTGCACAAGTCCCCCAATTCCCCCCTGTTCCCCCAGCCCCCTTCCCATGGCTGCCCTGCCTGCTATAGCTCCAGCCCTTTAAGAAAAAAAACCCTGAGAAAACCCCCGATTCATTGTTTCAGCTGGCAGGGGGCAACCCCTGCTGCCCCCCACTGCCCCATGCCATGTGGGGGGGCTCTGCATGAGACCCCTGAACCCCTGAGGCCACTGCAGGGTTTTCTTAGGTTTTTTTTTCTTAAAGGGCTGGAGCTGGGGTGTGTGGGTCAGCCATGGGGGGGCTGAGGGAGTGAGGGGGAGGGTCGGGGGTGCATGACAGAGACCCCCACACAGTGTGGGGCAGTGGGGGGCAGCAGGGATTGCCCCCCAACCTGGCAGCACCCTGTGAGTGGGACTTTTTTTTAAAACACCAGGAACTGGGGAGGGACGGGGGCAAGACTGGGGGAGCGGGCAGGGGTTGGGGCCTGGCAGGGGTCCCCCCATGGTCCCCTTCCCCAGCCTTCCCTCCCCCATCTCCTACTTACCAGCTCCGAGTCTGGTTGCAGCTCCCTGCTGCAGCCACCAGGGACTGTCCAAATCATCGAAGCTCTCCAGATCTTTTCCGAAGATTCGGACCTTTTTATTGGTCCCCTAATTCAATTTGGATTCAGAGATTTAGCCACTAAATCGGGCCAAATCTCTTCCAAATTGAATCACCACCTGAAGCTTTGCACAGCCCTAATAGTGAACTAAGAGCTTTTCTTATGAATATTCCCTCACTTTCCTTGAGTCCCTCTGTACCAGTGGTACTCAACCTAAAGTCTGTGGGCCAGATTCGCCCCCTAAAGTGACTGCATCTTGCTTGCAGCATGGGGGATCAGTGACAAGCACCTCAGCTTGGTGTGTCTCCTTCCCTGTCCTACGCCATGCTACTGATCCCCTCTACAGCCCTTCGTGCTCT